CTGGGCCTGGTGCTGCTTCAGGACCTAAGCCGGGGCCTGGCACTGTGGGAGCTGGGCCTGGTGCTGCTTCGGGACCTGGACCAGGGCCTGGTGCTGTCGCTGGACCTAAGCCTGGGCCTGGTGCTGTGGCTGGACCTAAGCTGGGGCCTGGTGCTGTAGCTGGGCCGGGGCCAGGGCCTGGTGCTGTTCCGGGGCCAGGTGTAGCTCTAGAACCTGGACCAGGGCCTGGTACTGTGTCCAGACCTGGGCCGATGCCTGCTGTTGCTTCAGTACCTGGACCAGGCGTGGGGCCTGGGCCACGAGCTGGGTCAGTACCCGGGCCAGGAGCTGTGCCATTGCCTGGGCCAGGGGCAGGGCCTGGGACTGGACCCAAACCCAGTGAGCCAATGACAGCTCCACCACCAGCACCACAGAAGACAACTCAACCCGCACCTGTTCAGGCCCCTAGGCAGAAGGTTCTGGTGACCGGAGGAGGAGGCTACCTGGGCTTTAGCCTGGGTTCCAGCCTGGCCAAGAGTGGCACTTCTGTCATCCTGCTTGACCTCCGAAGACCCCAGTGGGAGCTGTTGCCAGGGACCGAGTTCATCCAGGTGCAGTGATGAGGGTCTCGGGGGACTGGTAGGGAGCACAGGCTGCTGGTGGAGGTTGGGGGACAGTATCTGATGTGAAATCGGTAGCGTAGTGTTGAGTTGCACAGGCTGTTTATGCTCCTGCTCTAGTCCCGGAACTTGCAGCTGGGCAGCCACAAGGCTGCACATCTCCGAGCCCCATGTCAGCAGCCATAGAAAGGGGACACTAAAATCTCTGCTCTCCAAAGGTCTCACGGGGACTTGAGGAGAGAGGGACATCCTGAGCATGGCCCCTGTGCCTTAGCTTGACAAATGGGGCTGGTGACTATGATGACACCCTGTGGAGTCACTAATCCTACCCCACAGTCTTCCTGGCGCTGGGTGGGGTCATGGGGCCAGCTCCGGGACGGGGCAAGGGCCCAGACCTCCTCACCTGTCTCTTCCTTCTCCATCCCAGGCTGACGTCCGAGATGAAGAAGCCCTGCTCCGCGCCTTTGAAGGGGTGGACTGTGTCTTCCACGTGGCCTCCTACGGAATGTCCGGAGCCGAGAAGGTGCGCCCATCAGGCCCTGGAGTTACAGCGGGCTTAGGTCTGGGCTCATGCCTGGACATTCATTATTGCTCTTCCCCTAGTCCAGGGAGGGTTGGGGCCACACCCAGCCTGGGACCACTTGCTGGCTGTGTGACCTAGAGCAAGTGGACTCAACCTCTCTGAGCCCCGCTCTCTTCAACTGTAAAGTGAGGATGTTAGTAGCACCTTCCTTACAGCCTCCTCAGAGAGCAGTGCAGTGGTCCCTATCAAAACATCCTCATCCCCTCTGACTTAGAAATTCACTTCCTTGGACATTTGCAGCACTGTTTTCAATAACAGAACGGGAGACAACCTAAATGCCCATCAATTGGGTACTGTTTATATGATTATATCCTCACTGTTTATATAAACTGTGATTGACATTCTGTGCAGCCATTTAGGAGAATGAGGTAACTCAACATGTGCTGATCCAGAGGTTTCCAAGGGGCAGAAACAGGGTTTGATGTCCTCTTGTTTGTTTTTTTAAAAAGCTAGGGTAAATATGTACATACCCACTCACGCATATGTGCTGACATGAGTAAGCATAGATTATCCCCAGGAACTTCCAAGGCTGGGAGCAGTGGTTGCCTCTGGGGAGGACAAAGGGAGACGGAATCGGAAGAGGGATGGAAACTTCCTTTTCTCCGTGTTCTCTTTTTTACTGTTTGAATGAGTTTTATGTAAACTTGTGGCTGTTTTACCTATTAAACAAAAATAACCGCGACAAGAATAAATGCAGTTTAGAAGTCAGCGTAGAGCCACCTCCTCGTGTGTTTGGAAGGATGACACGAGGTGGAAGGCTGGTGAACAGGCAGCTCTCGCTGCAGACCAGCTGGTTTTACTTTTCACACGCCAGCCCCAGTGTTTACGTGCAGGTGAGGAAACAGGCTTTCAGAGCAAGGAGACAATCCGACACATTGGGAGTCCCTTTCCTGTGCCAAGCCCTGTGCCAGGTCTTCCCATGGGGCTTATTTCATCCTGCCAACCACCCAAGGGGATCTGCACTCACTACAGATGCCGGAGCGGAGGGCCAGATAGGGGGCAGTGCCTCCCCTGGTGGCCCAGGGAAACGGTGGCTGAGCTGGGCCCTGAGCCCGGGGTCCCCAAACTGTCCATGGGCCTCTTGGGAACCTTGTCTCTGAGTTGGACATTCTGCAGCCCCCGCCCTCACGGCCTCAGTGACAAGGCAGGAGGCAGCTCCGTGACTTTCCCGCCTCCGTCTTGTCTTTTAGCTGCAAAAAAAGCAGATTGAGTCTATAAATGTTGGCGGCACCAAACTAGTGATCGATGGTAGGCGCTCGGTGTGCAGTGTGGCCTGCTGTGTGTTTCCTGCTTCTCTGCTTCTCCCCATCCTGCCACAGGCCCACCTCTGGGGGACAGAGGCGGGGCCCTCCCTCCCTCTCCCTGCCCACCCCTCAGAGGGCCCTGTGGGCAGCACATCCTTCCTGTCCTACGGACCTTCCCAGGCTCCTGCGTGGGGCAGGTCAGCGTGGCCTCAGCATGTCTGGGACCTGGCGAGTGGCGTTAGCCCTTTGGGCTTAAGGGTTGGGAGTTAAGGAGAGTCACCAAAGCACCACAGTAGAAACCCCCATCTGGGCTCTCTGGGCCTGTCCTGCATCTCATGTCTCTCACTGACTCTAGAGTGTGTTTTCTCCGCGTCCCTATCGAGTGAGACTTTCTTCTGACGTGTCCCTGGCAAGGCAGCTCAGGGGCCACAGCCACCCTGAGAAGGAGTGAGCTGGCCTGGCGACTTGACCCACATCGCAATTTAAGGGAAAGAGGCCCTTTCTTCCTGAGAAGCTGTGCGTCCTGGGAGGGCTCCAGGGGCCAGGATGTGTGTTGGAATCTGGGTACAGATCAGTGGATTTGCCCGAGGAGGTCCCTATGGGCACCTCCTCAGCCAACTCCCTGCTCACGTGGGCCGTGTGTGTGTGTGTATGTGTGTGTGTGTGTGTGTGTGTGTGTGTGTGTGTGTGTGTGTGTGACTTTGTGCACCTGTCGCTGCAGTTTNTGTGTGTGTGTGTGTGTGTGTGTGTGTGTGTGTGTGTGTGTGACTTTGTGCACCTGTCGCTGCAGTTTGTGTCCGCCGGAGGGTTCCAAGACTTGTCTACACCAGCACCGTCAATGTCGCTTTCGGAGGGAAGGCCATAGAACAGGGCGATGAGGACTCTGTACCATATTTCCCACTGGAGAAGGTACCTGGCTTCCAGGAGAGGTGGGCAGGGCCAGTGGGAAGAAATGAGTGGGGCCAGTGTCAATTCACAACTCAGGGTGAGTCCCAGGAGGAAGGGGTCCCCAATTTTAGTCAGTCATGCCAGCGGGGACTTTGCAATCAGATGGACCTGGCCATCAGCCAGCCAGACCCCTTTCTACCTTTGTGACCCTGAGCGAGTCACTTTACTCTGAGTCTCTCTTTCTTCTTCTGGGCATGGTGACACACCCCTGAGGTTGTGACGATCAGGAAATGAGGTGGTGTGGGCAAAAATGTCATGTGAACCCTCAAGGGTTGCATGAAGAATTCATCCGACACATCCAGTGTCAGCGCCCCAGAGCAGGCGTTTGGAGCTGGCAGGGCCTCCCTGGGTCAAGGAGCCCTGATCAGGTTACTGCTGTGAACTCCGCGTTTGTGCCCTGAACTGCCCCTGGGACTCTCACCCAGAGGGACAGGAGCAATAGTGGGGCTCAGGGCTTGGCTCTTCCTGTGTGGCCTGGGGCCAGGCCGGGCTTGGCGGGCCTTGCCAGCAGTGTCACTGACCCCTCTGGTGGCTCTGTTCTCCCTGTCCTCTCACAGCACATGGACGACTACTCCCGAACCAAAGCCATCGCTGACCAGTTGATCCTCACGGCCAACGGAACGCCTCTCCCAGGTGAGTATCATGTGGCCCTGCTCAAGGCAAATGTGTGTGCCTGCCGCTGCCTCCCCCGAAAGGCATGCGTGAGTCTAGCTTTCAGCTGACATGTTCCTGAGACCCGCCTTCCTTCCAGAGGACACTTCCCCAGGGCCTTGGTCATCTGTCATTTGGCAGATGCTGAGCACCTGCCATGTGCCTGCCCCCAGCAGGGAGACAGCCCAGAAAAGTCAGGCCCTGCCTCTGCCCTCATGTTGCTCACGGTCTGGTGGGGAAGAGACCCGGTCAGAGTGGATCCTTTTCCTGCCACTCAGGAGTGGCCTGGTTTTAAGGACCCCCTGTCAATAAAAGAGTACACAGTGATGAACATGGAGTGACGTTCAGCAGTTTAGAAGGGCCGTGCAAGTGAGGGGCCCAAAAGCCTAACCCCCAGTAACTCCCAGAAAAACCGGCCTGAGCCTCACTGCATGCTGCTTCTGGTGACAGACAAGTCATGACACAACAGGGACAGGTGGCAGTACGGCACAGTGGCTGAGCACCCACTAGCTGGCTCAGACGGCTCCAGCACCTCTTAGCTGTGTGGTCTCGGGCAGTGCACTCACCCTCTCTGTGCCTCAGTCCTCATCTATAAAGAAATGTGGATGGGAGTGGACTCTGCCTTAAGAGCTCATATGAGAATAAAAATAAAAATGGGCACTGTTAAAAAAAAAGCAAACTGAACATGGGCAGTCTGCATTTCTCAAGAGCTCCCTGCGTGCCAGCCCCTATCTTACATGCTAATTTTATAGGCGAAAGTCTTAATACCTCTTCACAGCATCCATATGAGGTAAAAACCTGAGGCCTCTCTTGCTTTCCAAACTCGGGAGCCAAGTAGATTCAGGTAAAGCCCTTGCTACCTTTGCCTTCCGAAATTCAGAACGTACAAAGAATCGGAAAACTTGGCTTTCCTCACTAGCCAAACTCAGGAGCCAAGTGGATTTGGAGAGTGACGGGTGCTTGAAACTATTATCTGCCCCACCCCCCAAAAAAATAATTTACAGAGAAGAACACTGAGGCTGAAAGGTTAACTGACTTAGCCCAAGGTCACACAGCTATTAGGTGGCAGATGTGAGATTTGAACCCCCCCACCGCTACCTGGGGGCGTCTAACATCAGAGCCTGGGGCCTAGCCATCATGCTGCACTGTAACCACCGCCGAGCAGGTCTGTGAGCGTCAGCTTTTTCTCCTAAGACCCTCCCCACCTCACCCCATCACCCTGGGCCTGTCTGGAGGCCTCGAGCCCTGATCCCGCTGGGAACGTCCAGCTGTGTTTTCCCAGAGGTTTGACCTTGGGCAGCTGAATCCTCTCCCTGGGGCCTCCCCGCTGGACCAGCAGCCTACAAGCCGGACACCTAATCCTCTGGCCGAGAATTATTTATATGAGCATCCCCAGCTTTCTGTGGTCAGGAGAGTCATGGATACCCTGGGCCCGGCCCCTCCGTGACGTGGCTGCCCAATGCCCCACCGGCCAATGTCGCTGCAACCCGACCTCCCCCCTTCCGTGCCCAGGTGACTCAGACTTTAAAAGTAGCTGCAAGCTGTTTACAGAAAAACTCACCTGATACCTGCCTTCCAGGAGTCCAACCACAGTCACCCTGGGTGCTTTCCAGTCCCTACTACCCAAGCCGGTGCCTGCAACTCTGCCTCTAGCCCAGTGTGGGGGACCCCGGTCCCAGAGGCAGAGCCCTGAGACATGCAGACAGACCCCAGCTCAGTGTGAACACGGCTACAGCCTCCTGTCTCTGGCTGTATGTGCCCTGGGGCCACCAGGACAAATGACCACAAACTTGGTGGCTTGAAACAACTGATATTTCTTGTCCCACAGCTCTTGCAGTTCACAGACAAATGCCTGAAATCCAAGTGTCAGCTGGGCTGTGCTCCCTCTGGTGGCTCTAGGGGGATCCTTCCAGCTCTGTGTGTGGCCATCTCGCCAGTCTCTGCTTCCGCCTTCACGAGGCCTTTTCTTCTCCATCTGTCTCTTCTCTGTGAGTCTCTTACAAGGACACTTGACATTGGACTTAGGGCCCACCCATACAATCCAGGATGCTTTCATTTTGAGATTCATAGTTACACGTGCAAAGACTTTTTTCTAGGTCCCAGGATGTGGACATACCTTTTCGGGGCCACCACTAAATCCACTATCCTGGGACTGATTGTCAAGTGAGGTTGTTGGAGGTGGGGGAGCAGTCAGGGTGTTTGGCGATGACCTGGAGACACCAGCCCTGGCTAATTTATGGGGAGACGGGGACTTATGCTGGAAGGATATGGGACGGCTTATGGAAAATATATTTCCAGAAAAATGACCACCGGGGCTTAGGAAGGACAGGGTTGAGGCAGCTCCAGGGACCTGGGTGGCAGGGGCTGGTGATCAGTCTCTTGGGTGAACCCACTCCTAGGATTTTAGGTCCTGGTGCCAGTGATGCTGGAGTCACATTCCTGAGTGAAAACATGTCATTGCCCCAGCTTGGGTCCCATGGCCACCACCTCAGGGGAGAGTGACGCATCTAGACTGACAGTTACCCCAAAGGAAGGTGGGCTGCTGGTCCCAGAGGATGACCTACACTGGGCTTCCCAAACTGGGGGTGCAGCTGCTTGGGATTCCCCATGTAGAGCATCTCTTAGGAGGCTCCATCTCAGTTAAAGAGTTGGGATTGGCAGTCAAATAATTTACTAATAAGTATTTTTTTTAATCTTAAACACAAATGGATTATGGAAGTAAACTGAAAATGTTGTAGGCTCTCTTAAGACTTGAAAGCAATATGTTTGTGGCAGCCCTTCAGGCTATACCCCCAGACGTCCCCAGGGGAGACTTCTGCACGTAGGGGTCCCCTGGCAGAGAATTTGGGAAGCCCTGGCCAAAGCTCTGTCTTGGTCTGGGGGACCCTGCTGGCACAGAGCAGTGAGAGTTAGGGGACAGACCCCTTGGCTGTTGTTCTGACGGCTCTGGTCTTGTTCTTTCTTCATTGATTGTCTGGAAAGTGTAGCTGCTACCGCCACCTACAAACACCCATTTTCCAGGTGAGGAGACCAAGGCTGAGAGAGCTGGCAGACGGTCTACCTGTTAGTGTCACCCAGAGGCTAGGGTGTCAGTGGGAAGAGCCTGGGCCTTGGGCCCCCGTCTCAGCAACACTGCCCTGAGCTGTGCACCCTTAGGCTAATCACATCCCTTCTCTGAGCCTGGGTTCTCGTCTGCATAAAACAGGGGTAATAACAGCTCCCACATTGTAGCGTTACCTTGACGGGAAAAGAGTCGTGGCTTACCTGAGTGCCAGGCACGTAGTAGGACCTCTGTGAGAGCCATCGTAGTCCTTATCTAACTGATGATCAGGAAAAGGAGAGAGAGCACTACAGCTGTTCGCACGAGGGGGTGAGGGTCTGTGTGCATCTGTAAGTGGGTGCAGTAGGGCTCTCAGGGGAGTTGAAGGACAGCTCGTCTGTCAAGGGCTGTGCACGGAGCTGCGTCTAGGTCTTACCTCTGTTACTGGCCTGTGAGCATCGCGAGGGCAGGGACCATTTCTGGGTCATCCTTGGATTCTCCACAGCGTCCGTCCCAAGGCCCAGTGCAGGGAGTGGAGGGAGGGGGGGAACCTCTGAATGGTGTTTGTTGAATGACTAACTGATTGAGAGAATCATTGAATGAGGAGACCCCAAGGGCCTGTCTTCTCTGCTAATCTGTCCAGGTAAGGACCAGGAGATGTGGACAGCCATTCTGTCCCTCCCCTGATGCACCCCTCCCCTGACACCGCCCCCCCCCCATGTCCTAGGAGGAGGCACTCTGCGGACGTGTGTGCTCCGGCCCCCAGGAATCTATGGGCCTGAAGAGCAGAGGCACCTGCCCCGCGTGGCGGTATGTTATCCCCACCCACGGTCACTGCATCAGTCTTGGGCAGTGTCCTGTGCCTGGGCCCTCGGTTCTGGGAGATGTCCCTGCCCCATTGGGCCCATCAGGAACAGAGCTCTCAGCATGTGCCAGCCAGGCCTGGGCAGGGGTGGGGAGGCGTGTCCCCAAAGAGGCAGAAGGGAGCCTATTGCCACCATTCAGACGTGGGCTTCCTGAGGTCTGGATGGCTCGTCTCAGGCCACCAGCATAAGGGTCTGCATATAGAAAACCTCTCCAGAGCAAGCCAGGTGTCAGGAATATAGTTACAGAGACTCTAGGCCCTGTCGTCACATTTCCCACAGCCTGGTCAGGGAAACAGGGGCCATAGGCACAGATTCCGTGTGGCATCTCGGGGCCGTATAGACGAGAGAAGGAGAGAATAAGAGCATAGCCCCGAGAGCCTGGCAGGGAAGGTCCAGGAGGGCTTCCTGGAGGAAGTGGTGCCTGTGCTATGTGGAAAGGGAAGACAGAGCTAACCAAGGAAACAGGGTGGTAGAGAGAAGGTGGCCCAAAGAGAGATGACAGCTTGGGCACAACCATGCAAATGAGAAAGATGACTGTTCTAGGTTTGGGGACAGCTCTGCAAACAACAGATAACGACTACTGTCCCTGTGAGGCCTATATTCTCACAGGAGGAGAGCGATAATAAACATGATGAATGAGAGGGGCTGTCTGAGGGGCCGGGGACGATGGAGTTGAAAAGGAAAGGCGTTGGAGGGCGAGGACCTGGGAGCGCTGGCAGTCAGGGGAGCCTCGCTGAGCCAGGACGTTTGAGCAGCAGCTTGAAGGGGGTGACGGTGCATCACACAGGGATGAGGAGGAAGAGCCTTCCAGGCAGAGGGGACAGCCAGTTCACAGCTGAAGTGGGGACCTGCCAGCACGTTCCAGGGAGGAGGCTGTGTGGCTGGAGCCTGGCGAGCGACGGGGGTTCGTCGTCAGAAAGAAGCTGGGGCCATTGTCAGGACTGGGGCTTTCAGCCTGGCGGGATGGGCATCCCCAGAAGGTTCTGAGCAGGGGAGACACGTGCTCTGACTTAGGGCCACCCTGGCGTTTGGAGAGCAGCAGCGGCTGAGGGTAGCAGCAGGGGACCCGTTAGGAGGCTATTTCAGGATCCAGGTGAGAGAAGACGGCAGCAGTCCGGGCAGTGAGATGTGGTCAGCTCTGGACAGATTGTAACAGATGAGCCAGCTGGGGGTGGGGTGAGAGACGAGACAGCAGACGTGGCTCCAGGGCTTCGCCTGAGCCCGAGTGCCGTCAGCCGAGCTGGGAGGGGAGCGCGAGTCCCCCAGGACCTGACAAGTCTGTGCTGACCACTGGACAGCCAAGGGCGATGTCAGGAAGGCGGCCGGGACCTGGGGCCAGGGCCCAGGGGTCTGGCCTGAGCTAGAAACCTGGGAACCGGCAGCGTAGACGCGGCATTGGAAGCCACTCCAGGCTAGCGTGTGTGTTTACCACCCTCCTCCTTCCCCCAGAGCCACATCAAAAAGAGGCTGTTCATGTTCCGATTTGGGGACCGCGGGACGCGGATGAACTGGGTCCACGTGCACAATCTGGTGCAGGCGCATGTGCTGGCAGCCGAGGCCCTCACCGTCGCCAAGGGCTACGTGGCTGTGAGTTCCCTGCAATGCCCTAGGGGATTCCTGGCTCACACACATTTCTCCCCAGTTCAAGATGGCTGGCGGCACTGTTGGCCCAGGGAGGCTGGGGTGGGGCCCGGGTGTCTTTACAGAGCGGTCATTAGCTCCACCTGGGAGGGAGGTGGTGTTGATCCCAGAGTAACGGTCACCAAATGCTAAGCATTTTACATACACTGTTGTTGCTTTAATCTTCACAACAACAGCCCGAGAGGGAGATCCCATTACTATCCTCCTGTTTCTCAGATGAAGAAACCGAGGTACAGAGAGGTTAAGTGATCCATCGGGGTCACACAGCTAGTCAGTTCCAGAACTCAGAGGGAATTGCCCAGGTCTGTCCCTATGGGGACATGGCTGAGGCCATGACTCATCTGTGGCTGTTCAGGAGAACTGGGGGTTGGGGCAGCTGCTGGGAGCCCTCTGAAAGGTGGGGTCAGGTGGTAGGTGGGTGCCTGACTGCCCCCCTCCCCTTGTGTCCCCCTCAGAGCGGGCAGGCGTACTATATCAATGATGGGGAAAGCGTCAACCTCTTTGAGTGGATGGCCCCGCTGGTAGGTGCCCAGATCTCCCCACCCTGCAGTGAGAATTGGGGGATCCTCACCTCTTCTCTTCCTGTCATCCTTTCCTACTTTCAAACAACAAGATTCCAGATTCAGAACCAGCTCTGGAAACCGTGTCCACTGGCTAACATTGGAACTAGCTGGAGCAGAGTCGTGGCTGCCCTTTTGGGGGCACCATGTGCTCCCCCAGTTTGCTACAGCCCCTCCCAGCCAGCTTCCCGGTTTTTGTTGACTGCCGGCCCTGTGGAATTTTGCTTGTGACCGCCATACTGTGTGGTGAGGCTCTCAGAGTAAGAGGAGGCGTTGGCCCTGGGCCTCCTCAGGGCAGCCCCTCCGAGAACCCTGGCCTCCCCCAGGGGCCCACCGCCGACTCCTCCTCGGGGCCTGGCCCGCCTGGAAGGGGCAGCGGAGACCCTGTGCTGGAGGATTGTCCTCAGGCACCCGGGCCCTCACAGGGCACCTTTTAATGGCTTTATTGAGCTATAATTCATACACCAAACAGTTCACCTATTTGAGCGTGTTCACAGTTGTGTGACCATTACCAAACAGAAGAACCCCCCCAAACTGTACCCTTTAGCAGTCACTTCTGTTTACCCCTACCCCACCACCAGCCCCAGGCCTCCACCGATCTACTTTCTGTTTCTGTAGATTTGCCCATTCTGGACACATTACGTAAATGGAACCACACAATGTATGACATTTTGTGTTGGGCTGCTTTCATTTAGCATCATGTTTTCAAGGTTCCTCCATGTTGTAGCACGTGTCTCTCATATCAGTACTTCATTCTTTTGTATTGTCAAATAATACTCCAGTCTGTGGATATGCCATATTTTGTTTACCCGTTTATCAGTTAACAGAATTTGGGGTGTTTCCACTTTGGGCCTATTATGAATAATGCTGCTGTGAACATTCGTGTGTAAGTTTTTATGTGGACACGTTTTCATTTCCCTTGGGCATAAACCCAAGGATATGCAGAGGGTGCCAAAAAAATGTATACACATTTTAAGGAAAGAAAACTGTATTAAAATTGTAACACTCAATATATACCAATAACAAAAGATGAATACAAGTCACGTTTGACGTCTGCAATTACAAGAGGTGCTCAAAGTGGTTCCCATCCGTGTCCAGACACTTCTGATGATGGCAAACTACTGCTTGAGCAACGCTGACCAAAGTGTCCACTTGAATGCATTTTTTTGGCATCCCCAGTATATGGGCATGGAAACACTGGGCCATATGGTCATTCTGTGTTTAACCTTTTGAGGACCTGGCAGACTGTTTTCCAAAGTGGCTGCACATTTGACATTCCTAGCAGCAGAGTAAGAGGTTCCAGTTTTTCCATTTTCTTGTCAGCACTCATCACTTGTCTGTCGTTTTGACCTGGAGACTTTTTATACAAGTGAAAGCCTCAATTCATCCTGTGCCAGCCTGGTTCTTCAAGCATCTCCTACCACCCTCCACACATAGGCTATTTTTTTTCTTTAATGTCAATTCTAGAAAAATCAGATTCTACATGAGGGCCTTGGAGTGTCTCTGGGTGTGGGCAGATGTAAATAAAAACTAAATGATGAGATTAAAACCCCACCTCATTCATTCAGTTCCCATTGAGTTTTCCAGGTCAAGGTGGATTTCACTTTGAGATTGGCACAGGCTTGGGGCTGGCTGTGGGGTCTCCCTTTTGGGCGGGCGTGCAAGGGACCAGGAGGTACCTCTGTGGGCTCCAGGTAAAGGGAACCCATGGCCTTTCCACTCCAGCCCCCGTTCTCACCTCAGACCATGTTTCCTTACAGTTTGAGAAGCTGGGGTACAGCCAACCCTGGATCCAGGTGCCTACTTCCTGGGTTTACCTGACAGGTAAGGAAAGGAGCGTGTGCATTAAAAACCCTCCATGTGCCAGGTGTACATGCATTACCTCATTGCAAACCCAGGGCCAGGACTAGGTGGAGGGCACAAAATTTAAAGAGACCCTCACTCTCAGCGGCCAAGTACTCTAAGCCTGACCTGCACTTCCCTGGTCCAAAAGCAAGTGCCTCCTTCAATCTTGCACCCTAGATGCCTCACTCTGAGCCTCACCCTAGTCCTGGCCCTGTTTAAACCCTATCCCACTTGCAAGGTGGGTGTGATGGGTCCCACTGTAAATATGAGGCAACTGAGGCTCTGAGAGTTTAGTGACCCGCCCACAGCGAGAAGCAGGAGAGTGCATGGCTGACTGCACAGCCCTGTGGCCTGTGCTGGAAGATATTGCCGATCAGGAGGAAGGGGAGCCCTCCAAAGTCACCTTGAACATGGATGTGTGGCTGCCCCATTTTGACCGTAGGTTCTCCTTCTCACCTTGAAGGTCATTCTCTACTGGCATCCCTCTGGTGGCCTCCCTCCAGCTGGAATGCAGAGCAGACATCAGCCCAGGGGACAGGTGGCCCTCAAGTCTCAAATAGCTGTGCTCCTGGAAAACCTGGGCTGGATCTGTTGTATTTTAAATGCAGTGGGATGCTGGCCATTTAAAGCAGGGGTTGCAAACCTGTCCCCGAGGGCATACATATGAGCTGACTTTTCACGTACGGCATCACTCCTGGACCCCAACTGAGAAAAGACCAGCCCGGTGTTCTGGCAGTTTTAGGGGACTGTGTATAAATTCCTAGTTCCAGGCAGCTGACTATAACTCAGAGGTTCTTAGCCCTGGCTGCACATTAAAGCCCCTGGGAGCTTTAAAAATATAAAAGTGCCTCGGCCACACCCCAGACCAGTGACATCAGCATCAGTGGGAGGCAAGGGGACAGAGGAACATGGGCACTTTTTAAAGCGGTCCAGTGGGCAGCGCAGGTGGAGAGCCGCTGTCCCAGCTTCTCTCCCTCCTGCTCAGGAGAGCATGTTGGAATAGAAGTGAGGCGGACATTACTATAGTGGTAACTCTGAATCTGCTCGGTCCGTCCTTTAATAGCAATAACAACTGACAGTGACATTTCACAGCCAAGTAAAGACTCCCCCTAGCAAAGCAGAATGGCCCCCACGATGTGTCCCCGAGGGCCTCCCTGGAGATTGCATAGAGCGGGCACTCTGGTCATTGGCGCCTCTCTCCCACAGCCACGGTGATGGAGTACCTCCACCTGGCCCTGAGGCCCATCTGCTGCGTCCCACCGCTGCTTACCCGCAGTGAGGTAAGTGGGCTGCTGCTGAGGGGGGCCTCGCACCCTGGTACCCCCACACTTGCCTTCCTGCCCCTTCTCCACACCCCACTGCCACCACCCCTCACCCCCTTGACGCCATAACTGGATGCTTGTCTGAGGTCTCAGAACCTTCCATGTGGCCCAGATCTAGTGCTAGCTTCTTTATACTCATTGGATCTCAAGGCTTTTGCTTAGGCTGTGCTCTCTTGGTCCAAAATGCGATAGTTCCAAGCCCATCTCCCATCACTGTCATTTCATTCATCAGCCAGATTGGAGGCTCCAAAAAGCAGGTTCCATGACATTTGCTTTTTTAAATGCCATCACTCCCACCAACCCTGTCAACTCAACACACACCCAGCCTGGTTCTAGGTTCACCGTCCGTGCTTACTGAACAATAAGTATAGATTAAGTGCCTATTCTGTACAGAATACTGTTCTCAGGTAACGATGATGCAGTTTTCTATTTGCATATACATTTTATAAGAGAGGATGTTTTACTGCAGATTGTAAACTTTACTGGTGTTTAGTGTTATTTGCAAAATCCTTGCAGCCCACTCTCTCATTTGACTTTCTCTGCTGCCTTGGGAAGTTAGGAAGGGCAAAACCATTACGATCTCATTTTCTGATGAGAAATGGAGCACTAGAAAAGTTAGTGACTTGTCCAAGGTCAGTGCTGTCCAACTCTGGGAATGGAGACTGGGCCACAGAAAGAAGCAGTTCCCTGTGCATTTCCTTGGAACCATCCAGGCTAGCAGAGGCTAGCAGAGTAGCAACCACCTGCTGAGTGGTGACCACGTGCCAGGCACTGTACTTCATCACATTGAGTCATCTCTTTCCCTCTGAGCTGTCTACAGTGTTACCATCTCCATGCGCAGGGGAGGAAATGAGGCAGGGTTGAAATCACCTGCCCGTGATCCTCACTGAAGCAGTCGGGCTGAGATTTGAACGCAGACCAGACCCCAGACCGAAATGATTTCAGGATTAACCAGTCAGTAGCTTGTGAAATGAGTCAGGAGCCACACCCATGTCAAGTGGCTGCCAAGGTGCTGCTGAATTGGGGTGGGACAGGGACCAGGCTCCCCTCCCTCTTCCTTGTTCAGTCAGCCCAGGGGCAAAGGATGCCTCTTCGGCTGGAGAAGTTTCTGGGCAATGGGGCTCGGGTGCCCTCTGCTGGTGGGTCTTCGACACACCAACCAGCTGTCCAGTTTGACTTGAAAGCCTTCTGTTCACCATGTACTGAGCACCTACTGCGTGCCAGACACTGTGCTGAGCAGTGGAGGCATGGGACCCTATGCCTAGGGAGCCTAAGTCCTAGGGACCCTAAGGAGCTCACAGTCCAAGCGGTGAGACAGCCCAGTAACCAGGAGGGGAGCCGGGTCCCCATCCCACCAGGAACAGGGCTGTACTCGGGGAGGTTAGGGAGGCTTCCCAGAGGAGGTGACATCAAAGCCTGAGCTCTGAGAATTGTGTTCCAGGACTCTGCTTATCCAGTTCACAGGAATACCAACGCCCTGAACTTACTAGCTGGGGCAAAAAAGGACAAGAACTGGCCTCTCTCCTCCCATAAGCATCTAAGACCAAGGGCTTAACCCAGGGGGCTGTTTCTGGGCCGTGGGAGAATCAAGCAGTAGTGGACCCCTTCCCAGGGTCTGGCTGAGGAAGAAATGAGTCATGTGGGAGGGCATCCTCCCAGGCCCCGCCCAGCATGGAAGAGCATGAGCTAGAATCTGGCTCCCTTGTTAACCTGGGCAAATCACTTCATGTTTCGGATCTTCAGTTTTCAAACGTGCAAAGAGGAGATGGGGCTTCTGGAACTGATAGCTGCATTATTACCCTGAAGCCTGTGGGCTCCAGGCCATCGACAGCAGGGAAACACAGCTGAAACCCTGGAGAATATTCGCTTCTGCATAATTGAATCCCTCTCCTGGTGAGGCTTAATCACTGAGGGCTGAAGGCTGTGCCCTGGGGATGGGGGACAAGAAGCCAAGAGGGTTTCCTGGGGGCATTTTTCTGGAGAGCAGCACTCAGGCCACGAGGAGAATCCCCAAGAATGTATCAAGGGCCTCCTGTGTCACAGCTCCGTGCCAGGCCAGGGAAGCGGAGTGCAGAGGTGGGGCCTTTGCTTTTGGGGACTGAGTTCAGCAGGGGAGTCGAGAGGCAGATAATAAGATGCAAGACAAAAAGGTCCTCCCTGACGAGGGCATCGCAGGAGCAAGACCCAGGGCGCGGGTGCTTTTAAACTGCCGTGTGAGGTTGCTTCCCACCCCCACTAGTCCCACCCCCTCGGCTGCCTCTCCTCTCCCCGCAGGTGCACAGCATGACCGTGACACACACCTTCCAGATCGCCAAGGCCCGCGCCCAGCTTGGCTACAAGCCGGACAAGTTCAGCTTCGCCGACGCGGTGGAACATTACGTGCAGTCCACGACCTGGAGGCCTCACGGCTCCACTGCGCGCACGCTCCTGCGGCTGCTGCTCGGGCTGCTGTTGCTCCTCGGCCTACTTGCCCTCGCCCTGCACTTCCTAAACCTGCAGCCGTCGGTCTTCTGAACGTTCGCCGCAGGACAGTCACTGTCCCTACCTCATCCTCCTGCCTTGGACCCGCCCCCGCCCCGCCCCCAGGCTTGAACCCACCCCCTGAGTCCCGCCCTGGCCCTGGACCCGCCCCTGAGTCTTATCCCGCCCTTTGGGTTTACACTCTTTGGGTTTACACTCTCCCTTGTCCCACCCCCAGCCATGGCCACGCCCTCGCCCCGCCCGCTGGTCTTGGTCCTCTCTCTGGCCCAGCCCGGTTAGTGATGGGGTCCTAGTCTTTGGCCTGCTCCGCCTTTCCGGCCTTCTCCCTGCCCCTGCCCAGTCCTGGGCCACCCCCCGGGTTCCCCCCTGCTCTGGTTCTTCTTTTCTTGCCCTAGCGGTATGCCTGAGCCCACCCCTTGGTTTCTCCTTACGGGATCCAGTCCCTCCTCCCTGTATTCTACCCTGGCCCCGCCCCTCCAGCTCTGGTTCCACCCCCTTTCCAGCAGCACCGCCTTAGGTGAGTTCTTGGGGCTTGGCCTCAGCAGTCTAGTGGCTAGTGCAGGCTGGGGTGGCATTTGCAGAGTTTTTGCTGTCTGCTACAGCCCCTCTAGGGACACTGGGCCCTCCTCGCTGCCCGAGCTTCTCTGGGCTTGTCCTGAGAACCTCTCTGGGTCTTCGACTAGACCAGGGGTTGGCAAACTTTTGAGATGGAAGAGCCAATCCTATCCCTCACAATAATTTAAAAATTATTCGAGAGCTATAAATATATTTTTACAAATAAGGAAAATTTAAGGTAATAGTATAACAAGTAATAGTATTAATTATATCTATTAAAATAAAAATTCACACAAAAAATTGCTCACATGTACATACTCAAGGAGCTGCAGTTTGCCGGCCCCTGGACTAGACCCGTTCTTGGAGTTTCGCGTTTGATCTGCTCTTACCCTAATGTTCTGGGTTCCCTCACTCACGCAGGCCTCCCTGTGCGTTGTCAGCCATGGTTACAGGGACACCCGAGACCCAGGCTTCTGCTCAACCAAACCTGGCTTTTCAGGGTTTCTGGTTTATGAGTCAGAGGGTGACTCAGCATAGTGAGGCGCAGGCTTCAGTACCAGCAGCGACATCAAAAAAGGAAAAAAAAAACTTTTTATAGAATTGAACGTCCTAAAAAGGTACCAATATAGTTATAATGGGAAGAATTAAGTTGATCCTATTTTATAATTTAGTATTGCTTCTGTTCGCTAATGAAGGGGCAGTTTCGATCAACCATAATCTTTGATGTTTCAACACACAAAATCTCTTAACCCAGCCCTGCTTTCCACAGACACAGTGTCTCCCTATTGTCTTGGGGCTGATCATGGATACCAAGATGAGTGTGTAAATACATCCGTGTATATATCATAAAATGCACATGTGGAACTGGCCAACCAAACCATGGGTCCTCTTGGTAAAGACGAAAACTGTCCCACAGCTAAAGAAACCTGTGGTGGAGGGGAGAGAAAGTTAATCAGAGCTAACGTGGGCATTGGGGGATGTGGGCATCCGTCGCCTGTGTGTTGAAGAAAGTTTGTGAAGCAGCTAAAAAGTGTAAGTTCCTCTTTGCTAGGTTGAATTGTATAGGTGTATATAATTTTTTAAAGCTCAGTTATAATCCTTTATGTCTGTTTAATGCTTGACAGTTTGAAAGGGCCTTCAACTATGAGCTTGTATTCAATTCTTAGACCCACCCTGACGTTAGGGTTTATTCTTCTCATTTGACAAATGAGGAAACTGGGGTTGCAGCTAACTTCAAAGAGGGGAGAAGGGTGGGGGTTACTGCTTTAAAGCTTGGGTCATTTGGAGGAGCTACCCAAGGCCCCCTGACTGGCCTAAACAAGACACGTGGTTATTTCTGCCCTTCTGCACCTCCCCCTGCCAGGGCTGGGCGGAGCTGTGGACCTGCCTTGCTGTCAGCTCCATTGGGGCTCACAGTCCTTGGGCTCCCCTTCTTCTCAGTAACGCACTTGCATCTAAACTCACCTCCCTGACTTTCTTCTCTCCATCAACCCTGAGAAATCTGTTCTTAGGGCAGGGAAAACAGGCTTTTTCTGTTCACATGATCTTCTAGGGTTTTTCTCTACTGCCAGACCTCAGCTTTTGAAACCCAAAAGCACAATCAAGTTCTTCTTTTTCTGGATTTCGCTAAGTCATCACTTCTTCTTTTCTGAGGCTCTGAAAGTAGAATGTCTGAACCCAGGGCGTGGGGACAGCGTGGGTCACTCTGTTAAGAAAGCTTCCTTCCTGTCAAATGTCTTTACCTAGTGGAAAAGGAGCTGGCACCTCCACCCAACACACAAACTGAGTCCCCATGAGCATTTTAGAGTTTGCCCAGACAACCAGCCTTCCATGAGGTTCTCAGAGGACAAGTAGCGGGAAGTCCTCGCTTACTTGGAGACACTGAGCAGAAGCATCATGAATGGAGAGAACAGAGTCATCACCGTGGACAGCCCAAGGTGACACAGACAATCAGAATGGACCATCCGGGCACATTCATAAGCTTTCCATTGTGGATGCTGAAGCTATTCCCTATTGTAGACCCAATGCCTGGCGTCTAAAACATCCTCCAGTCTGACTCCCCATTCTCCCCCCATTACTGCTGTCACTCTCCCCTGCCTCTAAAGTCAAATTTCGTGATCAGTTGTCCACACTTACAGTTCCATTTCTTCTCTTAAACCCATTCCCAAATGGTTTTAATCAAGGTCATCAATGACCTTGTGCATAAATTATAAATCCAATGGATATTTTTCAATCTTTATCTCGCCAAGCTTCTTAGCAGAATTCAACATAACTGGCTACTCCTTCCTTCTTGAAATACTCTTCTTGGTCTGTATGGCACCACACATGTTTTCCACCCATGTCGCCGGTCAATCCTCCGTCTCCTTCACTGGCTTCTCTGTCAGTGTCCTCCCTTTCAGATTATGTTCCTCAAGGACTCTGTCTTGGCCCCTCTGCTCCATCTGAGCACTCTTCCTGGATGAGTTCATCCATTCCCATGGCCGCTGTCTCCAACGCCCTCTAAATCTGTACCGTTTGCTCAGAGTGTTCTCTTGACCTCCAGACTTCTGTGTGCACCATGGGGTTGAGCCCATGTCCCACAGGCATCTCAAAGTCAAGTTGAATCAAACTGAAATCATCTTTCTTACAAATGGCTTCATCCTGTGTTCCCTCCTACGGACAAGAAGAGGCACCACCAGCCATCCAGTGGCCCAAACCCAAAACCTGGTCATCACTTTTCATATGTTCCTCTTCTTCACATCTTCATTAGTGAGTTCTGTCAGATCCACCTCCAAAATCTCTCTCTGCCCCACCCCTTCTGTCCCACACACTGTCACAACCATGGTGCACGCTGCTCTCCTGTCTCCTAGACAACTGCTGTAGGCTTTGAACAAAACCTGTTCCTGCTAAATTGGGATGTGCCACCCTCCAGCTTAAAACCTTCCGATGGTTTCCCATTGCACTCGCAATCAAGTTCAAAGCCTTACTTTGTCATGTATAGCCCTCCTTGCCTAACACTTCGGTGTCATCGCTTGCTGTTCGTCCACTGCTGCTCTTTGTCCAGCTGCCCTGAAATGCTTTCACGGCATCTCAGACTCACCAGCTCTCATTTGCATCTAGGATTTTCCACATGCTGTTCCCTCTTCCTGGAACTCCGCTCTTCCCCCCCGCTTCACTTGGCTAATTTCTAAAAGTCAATTCCCAGCTAGATGTCACTTCTTCCAGTGATCCTGGGTCAGGTTAGCACAAGGCACAGCATAACACTCCTCAGAGGTGTAAATAATGAAAGTACAGTGTCTATAAACTCTTGAGTGTGAAGACATGCCTACCTTGTTTGTTCCGTAGCCTCAGGACTTGTTTGGTTTCTGGCCCATAGTAGGCCCTTCATAAATAGTTGCTGAATGAGTAAGTAAATGAGGGGTCCCTAAACCAAGACTGAAGACCAAGCAGGAGGTGGATCAATGAAGCTGGGACCTTGAGGTTGATACCCCCACGTGGGGCAGGCCCCTGATAATCCAGCCCTCTGCGGGGACATCTGACACCTTTTCTGCCAATGGGTTTCCGGAGTCAGCGGGAGATCTCCAAAGTATGCAGAGCGGGCCAGAAAGGTACCCTCTCTCCCTCAGATCACAATTGAAATCACCCCCACTTATGTTTTGCCGTTGGGCAGTAAAGATACCAGCTCCCTGTGGCCTCAGGCCTGGAAGCATTAAAGACGCAGGTAGACTGTTGGAAACATTTCACTGTATCTCAGATGCTGTCTCCTGCAAATAGGGAGATGTTTTGTTTTTGTTTTTTAGGTAGCAGGATTGGTTGGTTTGTGTACTAGGCTGGGGAGTAAGAGGGCTTGTGCTGCACTTTCTGTCCCCCGCCCTCTTACCCATCTATCCCCCCTTCCCCGGTTCCATTAAAAAAAAGACAAAAATCAAGCTGCAGGAAGTAGAAGAGGGGAAGACGGACTAGGAGAGAAAGACATAAAGAAGCTGAAAGGTTTAAGGATGGAAAAGAGACCGCTAAAGGTGTGGCAGCGGTGGGATTCGAACCCACGCCATCGAAATGACTGGAGCCTAAATCCAGCGCCTTAGACCACTCGGCCACGCTACCTCCCGTGCGCGACGTTTGCCATTGAGACTATATTAGTCTAATGACGCAGCACCACACGCTCTGCGAGCCCCGCCTTCGTGGACGTGCGCATGCCCCATATCGGCCGTGGCGTCCCCCGTGACTGTTACCGCGTGTTAGCGCCCGGCTTCTCTGTGGGTGTCGCAGTCGCAATGCTTTCCTGACCCACAGCGGTCATTACAGTCGGGAGGCAGCGTTAAAAAGGAAAGACTTCCTCAACGTTAAACATTAGTGTTAAGTCCTCAGGTACGTGTGCATTTGGCCTTCCATGAGCGTGGTATACTGCCTACGGCCACCTGGGGGCGATGCCGCGCTGCCGCTCTTCCCAGCCGGGTTGGGAGTGGGGGTTCCGGGGGAACTGCCTGGATCCACATCCTGCGGCTCTGCACCCCTTCCTCCAGTCACCTCTGCAGCCTGGGTGGCCCCGTGGCCAGGCTCCTGCCCCACGATGTAAGAAGCGCGGCTCCAGGGAGGAAAATCCCTGAAGGTGGTTGGAGACCTTTTGCACGTGTGGGCTCCCTCAGTCGCCTCAGAGGGAGAAAGGGCTCCGAGCAGCTCGGTAACTTGTCTCCGCTGCCTTCTCCTGGATAGGCTGCTTCAGTCAGTTTTTGGTTTTGTTTTTAATGCAATAAATACAGAGCAAATACACCACACAGTAAATACACTTGCAGACCTCCGTTTTCTGCCACCCAGAAGTGTTAACATTTTGCATATTTCCTCCCAATATTTTCTAATAACGAATGAACATTATAGATAAGATCCAAGTCTCCCTTGACATACCCAAGTCCTATTCCCCTTGCTCCTGCCTCAGAGTTTCCATTCCTTTTCCCCCCCGCTTCTTTGGGGAACAGGCTGCTGTCCTTCCTCAGGCAAGCACGTGAGGCATTTTCCCCTAGGTGGGGCGCCTCACGCCCCTGGACTCCCACCGATCCTCCCCCGACCTGTGTAATCCTTAGCACCTGCCTCGTGGCGTGGAGGACATCCACGTCGTCTTGCCCAAGACAAGCCTCATGTGGAGCTTCCCTTAAACTTCGTGTAACAGGAGCTGTGGGCCTCTTTCTCTGGCCTCTCGGCCCCAGGGAATCTCACGGGACCCCCAAAGCAGAAGAGGGGTCATTTCATATTCCTTCTGGGATTCTTTCTGTAGCCTCAGGTTGGCGGTCGAATGGCTCTGTGATGGGCTTTCTTTCTCATGCCCAGTAGGCCTGGGGCTTTCTGAGCCAAGGGGGCTGAGCCAAGGACTAGTACTTGAGTACTAGCAGGTACAGGAAATTACATGCTTGACCAGGTCAGGACGTCGCCTTACGTGCTTGCCTGGGGAAGAACAACAGTCTGTTCCAGAAACCAGCACGTAGCGGGAGGTAGAGAGAGGGTGCTGATTTGTCAGAATAAACACCGAGTTTGATCAGACAGTCTCAGAGCGGGGTGTGCAGGAAGAAACCTCCTTTCTGGCTCAGGGCCAGCTCATCAGATAGATAGCAGCACAATCATGGAACCATCCTCCACCTCTGGACGTTTCCTATAAATGAAATTATATAATTGTTGCCTTTTGTGTATAGCTCCTTTCCCTTAGCATGTTTTTTAAGGTTCATCCGTGTGGTAGCATGTGTCAGTGTTTCATTCCTTTTCGTGGCCAAATAATATTCCATTGTATGGACAAACCACCTTTTAATTATCCAGGTATCCGTTGGTGGACATTTGGGTTGTTTTCACCTTTTGGCTTATTATGAATGATGCTGCTGCAAACATTCATGTATAACTTTTTGTGTGGACACTTGTTTTCATTTCTCTTGGTTATATACCTGGGATTAGAATTGCTGGGGGGCATATGGTAAACTCATGTTTAAGTTTTTGAGGAACTGCCATACTGTTTTCTATTCCTGCTAGCAGTGTATGAAGGTTCTAGTTTCTCTGCATCGTTGTCAACACTTATTATTCTCTAACTTTTTTATTATAGCCATCCTAGTGGGTGTAGTTTTGATTTGCATTTTTCTAATGGCTAATCATGTTGAGTATCTTTTCATGTGCTCATTGGTCATTTGTGTATCTTTGGAAAACTGTTCAAATCTTTTTGTCTACTTTTAAATTTGGGTTATTTATCTTTTTATTTTTGACTTGTAAGAGTTCTGTATATATTCTAGCTCCAAATCCCTTATCAAATCCAGATATATGATTTGTGGATATTTTCTCCCATTCTCTGAGCTGCCTTTTTCACTTTCTTGATGATATCTTTTGCATCCTTTGGGTTGAATCCCGTGGATTACTCTGGTGGAGGGAAAGGGGGAAAACCCCAAATCCCTGTGGGTGGGGAAAGGGATTTTTCTAATAGAGGTGGGGAGCTTGTCCAGTAGAGCTTGAAGAGGTGACGTTTGCCCATGAGAGAGAGGGAAGGGCAGGCTTCAGGACAGGGGAGCACGGCTTGGTACTGGAGCGTGCCTATAAAGGGTCCCCTTGTGAAGGGTTTGTTTCTCCTCTTGGAAACTGTAACACTGAGGGTACAATTTAATTATTTTCCTCCTGTATTTAATTCTCTTTTGTTACACCTGAACTCTTCAGTCAAGGGTGAACAGCTTTGTGTGATGGTTAAAGGTGACCGAGGACCAAGTACAAGCCAAAAACGATCTGATCGACGTCTCCTTGTGAGGCCACTAAAGCTACCGGAAATGACGCCGGCTGCTGCTTCGGAGCTCAACTCCAAAGTCATTCCTTCAGAGAAGCCTTCCTGACCAGGTTTGCTTCTTTGATCACTCATTGCCCGCTACACTTCTCACTCATAGCGCACTTCACAGTTTATAATGGTACGGAATGGTTACTCTTTGAGAAGTCCCTGTTTTCCCTTTTCCTGTTCCATTAGACAGCTCTCTGAAGGCAAGCCTTTTCCCCAACTCCCAGCACAATATGTGGCGCACAGTAGGAGCTTAATAAATATTTGCCATAAGAATGAATGCCCAGAAACCCTAACTTACATCCTACCAGCTCAAGAGCTCTCTGGAAAAGAAAGATCTTCTTTTCTATGGCTGCTATTAAAAGACCCAAATTAGTATCTCACTGGCCTGGCTTGAGTCACATGCTCTTTCCAGAACCAATCAATGAGGCTAAAAGGGATGGACTTCGCTGATTGGCCAGGTCTAGTCATGTGTCTACTCTTGAAGCCAGGGGAGTAGGGAGGGCTTCTCTCATGAACTGAGAATGGTGTGGGGGAGGGCGGGAGGGGGGGTGAGGATGAAGGGGGACTGCTTCTCTGAAAACAAAGCAAGATGTTTGTGCAAAGAAGGGGAACACTTCCGGAGCAGACAAAAATAAAGAGGCTCAGAGAAGTTAAATAAGTTGCCCAAGGCTACAGAGCTATAAGGAGTGCAGTCTTGTTTTGTTTTTTGGGTTTTTGGGTCTGGCTTTGGGCTTGGACAAACTAGCTCAGATTCTTTGTTCTGCCCTAGCTTTCCCACGGTGAGAATTTCAGGTGCAATTTTGTCTTTTGCCAAAAGCCGGATGAGTTTTCTCAAGGTGACTAAAGGAGGCAACACTTCAGACCAAAATAATACCTTCTGGATCCTGTAGTTTCCAAAACCTGTAACAGAGGCCAAAGAATAAAACATTCAATGATGGGTTTCAGGACCATTTCTTTTATTTTTCATTCCCCCCACAACCTTATGAGCTTCCTCATCACACCTCATAAACTTGAACCTGCGCCCTGCAGGGGCCACAGCAGCTGGTAACATGAGGGACTCGGCTCTCCCAAGGGAATCTGAAATTCCAGGGGCCTCAAAAACTGAAGAGTCACGGCTTAGACACAGGACACTCGAGGGGCCAGTATATACCCAAACCTGGGTCAAAATTGGCTCTGCCACTGACTGTCTGTGTAACCTTGGGGACGTCACTTAATCTGCCTCAGCCTCCCTGTGTCTGAAGTGGGGACAATAAGAGGGTTGTGATGAGAATTCAAAGAGATGCCAGTAAAGCAGTTAGCCCCGTGCATCCCACAGAGTGAACCCCATGTAAATATCAGCTCTTACTGCATCCCCCCAAAAGGCAAGTCAGAGCAGGCATTGCAAATGACAGGGGGGCTCTTGACCACTGAAATGTGTTCACATCCTAGTGTTGAGGGGGGAATAGGAGTCCACCTGTTAGGAAAAATGTAAATACAGTTGACCCTTGAACAAGGCGAGGGTTGGGGCGCTGTCCCCAAAGCAGTGGAAAATCCACGTGTAACTTTTGACTCCCCAAAACTTAAGTTGTCCCTCGGCATCTGTAGGGGATTGGTTCCAGGACCCCCAGATACCAAAACCCACAGATGTTCAAGTCCCCTGTCTAAAAGGGCGTGGATCGTTGCATACAGCTGGCCCTCCTCATCCATGGAATCCCAACTGCACGCAAAAAGAGTCCAGGGAGTTACTGAAAACAAATCTGCGTGTAAACTGGCCCGCATAGTTCAGACCTGTCGTTCAGGGATCAACTGTATATCCACACGCATACCCAGACGTCATATCCCTCTGTCCCTGGTCTGCCCGCACCAGTGGTTTCCGTGTTTTCCTGGGGCTCACCTTGACAAGGCCTCAGCACTCCCTCTGGTTCCCTGGGAGAATTTGGGAGAAGTTGGTGGCTCACACTGTTCCAGCAGCCCAACGAGGCTCCCACTAAGAGCTCAGGGGCATAGGGAAGGTTGTTAGGTTGTGTGTTGCACAGCGAACTATTTAACCCCCCCCCCACACACACACACTCACACTCTCACACTAGACAGTGCCCTCCCTACTGCAAGCCTTTCCCTTCCTCCTCCCTCCCTCTCCCCTGCAGGGGCCTTCAAATTCCTCACCCCTTTTACTACACAGAGTAACTCAGCCGACCCCAAACCCACAAGAGCCCTGACATATGGATGTGCTCTGCCTGGATGACCCATCTTAGAAATCTTTTAGTCCAGTCTGTTTCTACAGACCTCAGTTTTATGATCTGTGAAACGGAGCTAATGAAACGTACCTCATAGGGTTGGTGTGAAGACGAAATGGGATAAATCACTCAATAAATATCCCTGTGATTATTTTTATTTATAAGATTTGTGACATTTCTACAATTTCACTAGAAAAGTAGCTGGAAGGCTATACTATCAGAATGTTCACAGTTATCATTAGTTTTGTTTCCTTTATGTCTTTCCGTCTTTATCCATTCATTCCACAGGTGTTTATTGTGCCAGACCCTGTTCTAAGAGAGAGGCCTACAGCAATGTCCTAGACAGGTAAGGAACGGCTACAGGGGGTATGAATCAAATAATCACACGCATAATTGTGCAAATAATTGCAGATGTCATAAGTGCCTACGTTTTTACAAAACAAATCAGAAAAAAAAAGCAATTTCCTGTAATAAAAATATCTTAAGGTTATGCATTGAAATGTATACAAGCAATGAGGTGGGATTACTAGTGATTTGGGGAAGGACTCGAATACGGAACTAGGCAGGTAGTCGAAGGAGCATGGGAGGCGGCTGGGCGAGGGAGGGGTTGGCTGTGTCTTCCGGAATTACCCCTCTGGGACGGCGCCCCTGGGCGGGTAGGTTCGAGGTCCCCCGCCTGCCCCCCGACTCTGTATATTCAACTGGCGGGGTAGCCGCGGACTCAGCGCCGGTTATTGCTCGGGAGCAGAGATGTATGTGAGGCTGCTGGCGCTAGGACGGCCCGGAGAACACCCACGTGAGCGCGGCGCCGCGCGCCCGCCTGGCCGCAGCCCCGCCCCAGCCCGAGCTCCACTTCTGCTCCAGCCCAACCCAGCCAGACAGAGCTCGGCTCCTGCCCGGACCCGACGCTTGCACGCCCCGCCGCTGCTCCAGCTCCGCCACGGTCGCCTGCGCCCGCGCCCCTGGCCCGCGCCCCCAGCGCCCCGCATCCTTCCAGCAGCCCCGCGTGCCCCTCGCGCTCCGGGATCGTTCCGGTGGCTCCCGCGCCCCGGGATCGACCCAACCGCCCCGGGCGGCCCCGCTGCCTTCCCTGAGCGCCGGCCCGTGCGCCCCGCTCGCCGCTCCCCGGCACTCTCGGGGGGCCCGTACGCCCTGCACCCTGGAGCACCGGGCCGCGAGCCTCTACCAACTCCTGTGGATCCTTGCAGCCGTGGGTAGCGGCTGCCGCGTCTGTCCGCCCGAGGGAGGTAGGTGCGGCCGGGGTTAGCACGGCTGATGGCGCCGGGCTGGGGCTTGGAAATGAGGCCCGAGGCTGCGCCGAAGGAGGTGGTGGGGGGCGCTTCTCTGGTTGCACTCCCGGGCTCAGTGTTTGCTTCACCTGGGAATTCGCGCAGATTAACTACCCTGGTGGTAACCCCGAGTGTGGCTTGGGGTTAATTTTCACTGCCGGAAGCGGTAACCCCGAGTGTGGCTTGGGGTTAATTTTCACTGCCGGAAGCGGTAACCCTGAGCCACACTCGGGATTACACTGCAGTGTCCCAGAGAAGTCCCTTACCTGCTCCCTGCGATCCTGCGGTGTCCTCCTGTGATCGCCGATGAGCACGCTGGCCGATGACAAATTGCAGTGTTTTTTATTTGATTACATTATTGAATAAAATTATATTATTTTTTATAATTATTTATTATATTATATTTTACGTTTCAAACTTTATCGTACCTGGGATGCCTACTAGACTCTTGTTTGGACAGATTTAAGTAATTCCTAAGAATTACAGGCCTACAATATAAAACAACAAATTCCATGCAAAACAATGTACCGCTTTGGGTACAAAATTACTGACATAATCAGACCGCCAGGGAGGTTTTAACGGCAGTGTCTAATGGGAACACACTTGGCACGCAGTGGGCTGGGAGAGGCGGCTTGGGGCGCCTCTGGGCCCGCAGAAGGTGGGGGCAGCGCTGCCATCCTGTCCGCCTGCAGGGCCCGGAGCCGCATCCCCCACCCGGGCCCCGAACTAGAAGCCCGGATTCCAGGAACCTCGAGGACACTGGAGACGCGCCCTTGCTGCGTTGGCTGCAGGAGCCCGTGTTGGCAGCCTCCATTGACACGTGCTCCTTGGGGGCGGACATTAATGTACAAGTGTAGGTGCGGGGGTGGGGGCCTCCCGGGTAAGTCCCGGCCTAGATTTGCCCAGCTGCGCCCCTAGTGTGACAGATGGACTTGCATGGGAGGGGGGCCGCTACTCTGGGCTCTGCCTGCATTGGGGCCGCTCCTGCAGGAAACTGTGTACCCCGGTGCACCCCTCGGATATTAGAGGAGGGAGCCGAGGCCCGGTGGTCTAACAGCCGACTCTAATTAGCAAAATGGACTCAGGGTGGGAATACAGAGCAAGCAGGGGCAGCTGGTGACGCCTGGTGTGTGGTCTGTGGCGTGTAATGTGGTTGGGATTGCCATCCCCCAGCGGTCCCCTTCTCAGAGGGGAGGGTCGCAAGTGCTTCTCTTCTGCAGGAGGGAGGGACAGGAAGTCAGGGCTGGTGATTGTTGAAATGGTCTGGATTTACATATGATCGGTTGTGTACAGTCTATCATTTACCATCTTTTGAGCTGTTTGTGACGGAACAGTAGGTTTCAGCTGATGAGGGCTATATCACTGACTTGATTTTAAAACATTTTTAATGTATTACGTGGCAGAGACTACCCCTGTCCTCTTCTTCCTGGAGTGTTCCCCGGATGAATTTCCCAGGCTCCCTCACAGGGTGGTGGGCCACATGACTGAGTTCGGCTGATGGAATGTGGGTGGAAAACAGTGTGTGCCCCCCTCAAGCCCGGACCCTAACAACCTCCCCCTCTGTCCTGTCCCCATTCACCAGCCAAGTTGAGAGGACTCTGAGGACTTAGAGGAAGGAGCCCGAGCCTCTGAGTGACTGGGGGGCTGAGCCCCTCCTTTCGTTCTCCCCTGTGGTCTGTGGCTGTCTGCTGGAGGGAATGGGCCTCCAGTAAGCTCTGTGGGTGTGAGTGGGGCTTGGTGGCTGAGGCCTTCCCCTTGGGGTGATCTGGCTTTGAGGCCTTTTTTCTGACACTGGTCAGATTCCCCGAAGAAGTTCTTGTCCCGCCTTCGGCAGGGTTGGCGGCCGGTTGCCCGGACACTGAGAGCAGTGGAAGGACGCTGAGGGTGAACGGCAGAAACTTGGATTTGTTCAAGCTCACTCCCTGGGATTCACTCTTTTCTGGTCCGATTCTTAAGCTGAAGCAGAAAAAATTGAGGATCAGGACTCTCTTCAGAGTAATAGGGGCCAGCGGGACTGATTAAAAAATAAGAGGTTTTGTGTTGGGGAGACCAGTTCTGCTGACCGAGAAACTGCAGACTGTACCCCAGGGAGCTGAGAATGTTGTAGAAGAAGGTAGTTACAGTGAGCGCCACGGGATGAAAGCGGTGTGGGGCCTTAAAGTGTTGCTGGGTTAACCTCTTGTAAGCAAGTAGGTTTCGGAGAAAGGAGCGAGCCACACACACGCTGATGATAAGGTAGAAGATGACAGTCCCTGGGTCCCCAAAGTACAAGGGCTGTGGGAGGCCCAGAGACGCATTTCAAATGTCTGGAAAGTCAGAGGGTGCAGCGTGTTCAGCTCTTCAGATGCGGTGCTTTTTAGAGCTAGTGAGGACTCCACAGGGAGCAGCTGAAAAGCAGGTGGCT